CAAACAGGCAAAACTGAACAGTATACTGTTTAGGAATAGATAGATAGTGGAACATAGATAGTGGAACTATGAAGATAAACAGAGGAAGTGAACCTAAGGAATTCAGAGTGGAGTTCACTCTCCCAGGAGGGAGAGGGATGCAGTCATCGTGGAGCACATGGGACATCTGAGGTCCTGGGAATTTATTTCATTTTGTGTGTGTGTGTGTGAATTATGATTTTTTTAAATTTTATATTGGAGTATAGTTGATTTACAATGTAGTGTTGGTTTCAGGTGTACAGCACACTGATTCAGCTCTAAGGGAATTTATTTCTTAAGCTGCGATCAAATACCCAGGGGTTCTGGTACATTCATCCTTAACTATACATGTTCATTCTATACATGCTTCTATGTGTATAATATGTTCACAATAAATATTTTTAGGAGAGAGGATGAGTGTGAAGAGAGAGTGAAGAGGCTGAGTGAGGAACTCAGAACGCTGGCTGTGCTGGGAAGAGGGGAGGAAGCTGGAGAGGATCCAGGATGAAGAAGCAAGAGCCTCAGTTAAGAGACAGGGCCGCTTGCTGAGCGGGATGCCTGCAGAGAAGGGGATCCCGAGTGCAGTGGGGGACTCAGGAGAGAGGACAGGGTTGGAAGGGAGCTGTGGGAGGGGGAGGGGCTCTTCCAGGTGCACAGAGTGGCACCCAGAGCCTAGCTGAAGCGATGCACTGTGAGTGGTACCTTGGCTGGACAGGGAAGGAAGGGAGGGAGGGAGAGAAGGAGGAGGGCCTGAAAGAAAAGGAAAGCCCTGGTGACTGGAGGTTCCCCTGGGGAAGCGAAGCAGGTAAACTCGCTGCCCTCTAGGAGGGAGCAGTCTGAGGGCTACTCAGAGAATGGTATGCTGGCATTTTAAATTTCAGAGAGGATGTAGTCCCAGGCGCTGATATTCGCCAGAGTATGATTCTGGGAAGAAAGTGGATGAGACAGAGTCAAGATAAAAGTTGTTGGAAGGAGGTCAAGAAGCTTTGAAGAAACCAGTAACACAGGGATGGGGTCTGGGTGGGGGTGGGAGGGAGGCCTTTGACAATGTACCCTTTTATACTTTTTGAATTTTGAACCATACAAATGATTCTGTGAAAACATAAACAAAAAGAAATTTTAATTGGGGTGTGGATTAGGTCATTTGCATGGACACTGGCAGGCCTGGAAGCCAGTTGCTCATGGCAACAAGCAGAGGCAGGGAGTAGCAGAGGAGGACTCTTGAGGCTGGAAGGAAAGGGTGTTTGGCATGAAGTGGAAGAGTCCTGTTCCTGGGGTTGACAAGAAGCTAGGAGAATCCGCCATGGCCATCGTTTCCCCAGACCTAGTGCTGAGCAAAGAGGGGGTGGGGGGAGGGAGGAGGGGAGGTGGGAGTGTGACTTGGAGGAGGGGGAAGATCATGGGCTGCAGGGAGAACTGAATTCCCTCTAAAGCAGGAGGGGGAGGGAAGAGTATATCAGGAGGCTGAGGCTGTGAGAGGGTTCCAAAGAGTGGAGGGAACAGGTTACTTGAGAAGGTGCCAGCACTGAGGAAAGGTCGAGGAATGGAGTCCGCTGCAGGAGACGGGTGGGAGTTTAGGAAAGGTGATTTTACAAATAGAGGGGACTGGTGTGGGCCTTTTGTTTTTGTAGGGTTTCTTTTCTCAAGCTGTGAGCCCCTGTCACCATTGCCTGAACAGGCTGCCATTTCGCCAGGATTCCTACAGTGAGGGCAGAGCTGAGTGTGGGGCAAAGGAGAAAGGGGGAAAAGTTGGAGCTTTTGTTGTAACACAGGAAAGTCTTATCAGCCTATGGATTAAAAAAAAACCCAGGCTGCGGCTTCCCTGGTGGCGCAGTGGTTGAGAGTCCGCCTGCCGATGCAGGGAACACGGGTTCGTGCCCCGGTCCGGGAAGATCCCACATGCCGCAGAGCGGCTGGGCCCGTGAGCCATGGCCGCTGAGCCTGCCCATCCGGAGCCTGTGCTCCGCAACGGGAGAGGCCACAGCAGTAAGGGGCCCGCGTACCAAAAAAGAAAAAAAACCCAGGCTGACTTCCCTTCTCCTTTCTCTTGGTTGCTCAAGGAATATAGTTATTTCAGTCTGGGCGAAGTACAATTGTAAAAGTAAACCCACTGCCAAAAATACTTTGAATGTCACAGGGAAATGTCTAAGCTTTCCTACTGCTTAGACATTTCCTACTAGGCCACTGCTCACCTCCATTAGTAACCAAGAGTGGTGCTCTAAGCCCTGAGTTCACTAGTCCTTGACCTCTTCTCCCAAACATACACACAAAAATACATACACCTCTTTTCAGGTTGAAATTTTGTGGACTGACAGGGCTGGAAGAGGCTTCAGAGGACAAACCTCCATTTCATTGAAGAGAATACTGAAACCTCTGGGGCCTTGAGGACTTCAAACCTGGACTAGAACCTAGATCTTCTGTTCCCTAGCTTTTTTTTTTTTTGGCTGCACTGGGTCTTCACTGCTGCACGCGGGCTTTCTCTAGTTGCGGTGAGCGGGGGCTACTCTTCATTGTGGCTTCTCATTGCAGTGGCTCTCTTGTTGCAGAGCATGGGCTCTAGGCGCGTGGGCTCAGTAGTTGTGGAGCGTGGGCTCAGTAGTTGTGGCGCACGGGCTTAGTTGCTCCATGGCACGTGGGATCTTCCCGGACCAGGGCTTGAACCCATGCCCCCTGCATTGGCAGGCGGATTCTTAACCACTGCGCCACCAGGGAAGTCCCCCTAGTTTTTTCTTGAATCCTTGGTCAGATTTTATTTCTCAGTCCCACTAAGAATCCTGAATGTATCTGTTCTTGACACCATGCCAAGGCGTTTGGCACTGCCACCCAAGGACGGGAGGGCCTGTCCTTTTACATTGGCAGAAGTTGGGGGCCAAAGGCCAAGGATCTAGACATCCCTGCATGGGGTATGTGGGAAAACAGCCCTACAAGATCTCCCCACCAGACTGTACAGGAAGAGACAGGCTTGTGCACTACAGCTTGTTTCCATATAAAATGGCAACTGGGTGGGCTGGGCATTTGAAGGATTCAGCAGCTGTCAACCCTACCTGCCACCTAGGACCACCTGTCTTAAACTCTAAACTGAGATAAGGACCCCTGTCCCATTCATACTCCCAGAAAGGAAAAGCAGCAAGAAAGGGACAGGATACAAAACTTTACAAACTTAAATTCTTACCTTGACAACTTTTAAAATTTCTGCTCTCACTGGAGTGTGAACAATTCTTCTGAGAAGTTTGGCAGTGAGGGAAAGAAGAGATAAGATAGGGGAGCAGATTTTTAGTTAAAGTTCTTTTGAAATTTCAGTCTGTCCCCCAATTAGGCAAAGGAGAAGGGAGCTCTCATTGATTCAGCACCTACTATATGCCAGGCTCAGTTAAACTTCACATTAGCCCTGTGAGGAATCAGGGCCCCTCCAATTCAAAAAGACTCTGTGATTCAGAGAATTAAGTAACTTTCCCAAGGGCCCTTTTCATAAGTAGTGGAATATGGCTTTGAGCCTAGGTGTTGTGTCCAACACAAATGCCTGACAACAAAGATATTTCTACAAAGAGGGCATTTTAGAATAGAGAGAACGAGATGAAGGCAAAAAAAGTCAGAGAATTTAAAAGGGAAAGGCAAAGAGTAGAGGCACCATCTAAACACTGCCCCCACTCCCCTACCAGAGGGCATCCCCTGAGTTCAGGATTCAGTTTAAGTCAGGAACAAACATTTTATGGGTGGATGCTGGCTGGACTGAAGAGGAATGACTTCAACAGTCTTTTATTGTATGACTTTTATTTGCAAAACATAACCCAGGACATAATTCATGCAATCAAGACGTTTACAATCCAACGGGGAAACCAGATATTGAACACATTCCACCAAATTTGATGTGTAAGGAAAATGCTCTAGTCTCCTGGAGAATGTAACAAACAAATCTAGTTGGCAGGAAACAGGGGCTTCTTCACCTGGACTTGGTTGGGTGGGGAAGTGAGGGTAGGTATGAGAGGTGCAAGGAAGAGGGAGGGAAGGGAGCCAGTCTTCGAGGCTGGTGATGAAGCCATGGAGACTGCAGCTCAGTTTGGGAGTGACAGAGAAAGAGAAGGCAAAGGTGCAGAGCTGAGGGAAAGTTTTGTTTAGGGCAGTGGAGCTCTGACCTTATCAGTCTGGTGGAGGAGGCAAGGATGGGAAGGATGCTAATATAAATATCATACTAATATAAATATTCACATAATTAGAAGAATTAGTACTAGGTCTATTTATATAGTAGGGGTGAAATAGTCAAGGTCATCGACCTTACGAGGGCGTTTGCCTTGGCAAGAAATTGGGATCAATTCTGAGAATGGGGGGAAGGGGAGGATAGGTGTGATTTCATAAAATTTTGAGACAGAGGAGAGGAAGTTGAGGACACTGGATTGTTGGGCCTTGCAGAAAGTTAAAATATCTTTTAGGCCGGGAGTGCTGAGTTGGTTACTAGCTTCAGAAGAGTTGTAAAAATCTGGAAGTGTGGCTGGAGGAACTGTGAACATAATCAACAAGGGATGCAGGCGTGGGCAACAGCAACCAACATCTCGATAGCCACGGGGCGGTCTGGGACCCCGGGAGGGGCGGTGGCTGCAACTCCGGCCCCGCTCCGCACAGCTGGGCCAGAGCAGCACCACTCCCGCGAGCAGGTGGCAGCGCCGCCCGCGGGGAGCCAGGCAGACGGGGAGCGCCGGGGGCGGCGGCGCGCATTGGGGGCAGAGGAGCAGGCTGCGCCGCGGGCAGCCGGGAGCGGGAGGCGGGCCCGAGTGAGCGGGCCTCCGCGCGGTATTTGGCACGCACGCGCAGACGGGCCGCGGGGCCCCGAGGCACAGAGGAGGGGGAGCCAGAAAGAGGGGGGTGCGGAACGTATTTCCGCTCTGGCGGACAAATAATACCGGCCAAAGGAGAGGCCAGGCCGTCCGGCCCTTTAACCGTGTGGGGGGGGCTGGTGAAGAAAGGGGGGTCGGGAAAGGGGGAATCCTGCTCCTTTAATTCCCTCCCCTCTTCCTCCTCCCCGAGTTCTCGCCGACGCCGCCGCGCGCGGGGCCTGGAACACACGCCACGAGCCGCCCCCGCCCCTCCCCCCTTACGCCCACGCGGAGCCGGCCCCGCGCGCGCGCCCCGTGCACCCCCGCGCCTGCGCGCTGCCCAGGCCCTGCCCGTGTGTGGGGGCGCAGTCGGCCCCGGGGGGGGTGGGGGAAATAGGGGGGGAAAAAAACAGCGCGCGGAACCCGGCCAGGTGAGAGGCGCGTGCACTCAGGGTCGTGGGGCGGGGGCCCGGCGCCCCACCGACGACCCGAAGGGGGGGGGGGGGGGGGCCGTGCACGATGCGTGCAGGCAGGCAGGAGACGTGAAAGTCGCGTGCAAACGGGCAAGGGGGGGGTGGAGGAATGAGGCAGCGGGTAAAGGGGGCGGGGTGAGAAGAGGCTGCAACCGGGGCCACCCTAGAATCCAGGCCTCTGCTCCCGCTTCCGCCGGCCTTCCCCCGTGGGCGCGCGGGCTCGCCCCATCTTCGCGGGCTGTCGGGCTGGGGGGTGTGGACGCCGCTGCCCCGCCCCCGGGAACCACGCCTCCCTCCTTTCGGAGGGACAGCGCCTCCCCGGGGGCTGGGGAAACTGAGGAAGAGGCTTGAAAACTGGATGATCTGATGCTGGGAGGGCCAGGCAAGAATGGGGGTGCGAGGCCTGGAGCCTTGGCCTAGGAAAGCCGGAGACCTTTGTCTCTGACCGGTTTCCTTCCCAACCAGGGTGGCCCACCCCCGCCACAATGGCCTCTGGGGTGGAAGTCCTGCGCTTCCAGCTGCCCGGCCACGAGGCCGCTACGCTGCGGAACATGAACCAGCTCCGCGCAGAGGAGCGGTTCTGCGACGTGACCATTGTGGCCGACAGCCTCAAGTTCCGCGGCCACAAGGTCATCTTGGCCGCCTGCTCGCCGTTCCTGCGGGACCAGTTCCTGCTGAATCCCAGCTCTGAGTTGCAGGTCTCCCTGATGCACAGTGCACGCATAGTGGCTGACCTGCTCCTTTCTTGCTATACGGGCGCCCTGGAATTCGCCGTCAGGGACATTGTTAACTACCTGACGGCCGCCTCCTACCTGCAGATGGAGCACGTGGTGGAGAAATGCCGGAATGCCCTCAGCCAGTTCATCGAGCCCAAGATAGGCCTCAAAGAGGATGGGGTCAGCGATGCCAGCCTTGTAAGCAGTGTCAGTGCCACCAAATCCCTCCTCCCTCCCGCCAGGACCCCGAAGCCAGCCCCCAAACCCCCACCCCCACCCCCTCTCCCCCCTCCACTCCTGCGGCCTGTGAAGCTGGAGTTCCCGCTGGATGAGGACCTAGAGCTGAAGGCCGAGGAAGAGGATGAGGATGAGGACGAGGACGTGTCTGACATCTGCATCGTCAAGGTGGAATCGGCCTTGGAGGTGGCACACCGGCTCAAACCTCCCGGAGGCCTGGGAGGAGGCCTGGGCATCGGAGGCTCTGTGGGCAGCCACCTTGGGGAGCTGGCCCAGAGCAGCGTGCCCCCCAGCACTGTGGCTCCACCGCAGGGCGTGGTGAAAGCCTGCTACAGCCTGTCCGAGGACGCAGAAGGGGAGGGCCTGCTGTTGATCCCAGGAGGCCGGGCCAGTGTGGGGGCCACCTCAGGCCTGGTGGAGGCAGCAGCGGTGGCCATGGCTGCCCGGGGGGCGGGGGGCAGCCTGGGGGCGGGGGGCAGTCGGGGACCCCTGCCCGGAGGCTTTTCCAGTGGCAATCCCCTAAAGAACATCAAGTGCACCAAGTGCCCGGAAGTGTTCCAGGGCGTGGAGAAGCTGGTCTTCCACATGCGGGCGCAGCACTTCATATTCATGTGCCCGCGCTGCGGCAAGCAGTTCAACCACAGCAGCAACCTCAACCGCCACATGAACGTGCACCGCGGCGTCAAGTCGCACTCGTGTGGCATCTGCGGCAAGTGCTTCACACAGAAGTCCACGCTGCACGACCACCTCAACCTCCACTCGGGAGCGAGGCCCTATCGCTGTTCCTACTGCGATGTGCGCTTCGCTCACAAGCCTGCCATTAGGCGGCACCTCAAGGAGCAGCACGGCAAGACCACGGCCGAGAACGTGCTGGAGGCCAGCGTGGCTGAGATCAACGTCCTCATCCGCTAGCGCTAGCGTGGCAGGCGCTGGGTCCCTGGGCTGGGGGGGAAGGGGGCTCCTTGGTCCAGGAGAATAGGGGGGTGTGGGGGGCAGGGGCAGGCAGGTACGGTGGGGAGCCTGAGCAGACACACACATCCTGAGGGAGGGGCCGAAGATTCCTTAGAGAGAAGACCTTGCCTCTTCAGAAGAAAAGGATGGACAGGGAGAGAGTTCTTTGAGAAGGCCAAGGGAATAGGGGGTCCCAGAGAAAGATTTTCTTCTCTTGGAGGTGCATGGATATGTGGAGGGAGGGAAAACGTCCTATGGGATGAGGAGGGAAAAAGACTGGAAAATATTTTATTCCTGGCTACGGCTGCCCAGGAAGAGGTTCTGGCATTTCGTGAGGTAGGGGGTGGGTGGGTGGGAATTGGGAGGGAATTTGGCAGGAGGCAGCTTACCTGCTCCTGCTTGGACTAGATCCTTGGGAGAGGGAGTGGTAGGGGGAAAGGATTATTGAATTCCGGAAAAGGAAGGGGGAGACAGTTCTTGCATGCTGGGGAAATGGGATGGGTACAAGGCTCACCAAAATTCTAGGGAGAACAAAGGAAGATAGCAGGTAAGAGAATACGGGGGTGAGCATCCTGGGTAGATACTGGGAAGGGGGGTACAATAGCAGGAACTACGAATAGTGGTGGGGGTGGGGGGTAGGGCACTGAGATGAGAGGCGGCAAGGAGGGCTGTTGCGGTGGGGGAGGGAGAGGAGTAGAGACTTATACAGTATTTTTTAAGAAAACAAAACGTATTTTTTAGGATTTTTTCTGGAGTTTGGGGTTTTAGTTTTTCTGCTTTTGTTTTCCACAAAATAAAAAAAAAAAACAACTTTTTCTTCTTTATACTCTATCTGGCAACTGCGTGTAAATGACTATCCCACCCTAGACCACCTCACCCTCTGATGCAATTTTCTAAGTACCCAGAGGACACAACTCACGCAGGTCTCATGCCTGAAGGAGCCTTGAGAGGGGAAGGGGAGTGTGACAAGTGGGCTCCTCTGGCCAGAGACCCTCCCAGTTCTGCATCCTCAACTCCTGGCAGATACCTCACAGCCCAAGTGTTCCGTGATTATTTGGCGGAGGTGTTAACAAATGACCTACTCTAGTTGAGTTTGGTATCACGGCTAGGGATGGGGCATAGGCGTGATCATTGTGCCCACCAAAATTGTAAGCTGGAGCCTGAGTTTGGGCGTTTTTGGTCTGGGGAACGGGTTCCTGTCCTGAAGAAAGATAAAAACTACTGGGTTAAGATGCGGAGAAGACTACAATTCCCAGAAAGCTCTGGAATAGTTCTTAACCGAAGAGAACTACAGTTCCCAGAAGGCCTTGAATTGGCCTCAGATGCCCTATACCCTATCCACTTGCCTGTGTCAAATATCGCATGTGAGATACAGCCATTTTCCAAACTTTGACCAGATGTAAATACCTAAAGAGATGGTACTCTAAATACTGCTTTCAAAGTTGTGTGTCCTGGTGTAATATCACTCATACTTCCACTGTCGGCTGGGCTATGACCAACGGAGTGCCTGCTGTGCTTGTGAAGTGTTTGGCAAAAAAAGTTTACTTATTAGAGTGTTACCAGACAGTAATGACTCGGGCCTCTGGGGGCTTACCTGGATCTCTAGTGCATGTGGTGGCGTGACATGTCTGGCCTAAATGGAAGAGACATTTAGCCCCAGGTTTTCAAAAGGGATCGCTGCTCCAGGGGACACTTGAAACTGCATGCTAGAACCAGCGAAGAGTAAAGGTGTCCTCCGCGCGTCCCCATCGCCCCCTTCTTGCTCGTTAGAGAAGCAAGGCCAAAACTGAGGCCGAGTCTTCTATCTAGTGACCGAGAAGCTAGAAAGGAACCAGAAGCGGGAGAAGCACACATGGGCAGGACTGGAAATACAGCCAGTGCCGAGAGCCGGGAGGCTCAGTCGCTCCGCTAGTTACCTAAAGCCAGGTGGCAGATGGAGAAGCCACACCTGGACCCAGGCGTGCCTCGCCTTCGGTTCCCAGCTAAGCTGAGGCCAGGAATGGCAGGAATTCTCCCCGGCAGCCCCCAGCTTAGTACAGGAACTGCCATGTCTGAGGCCGCCCTCCGGGGAAAATGGCCAGAAAATGCGTAGTGGCTCCTTTAAGGCTCCTCCTAGCCCTCCTACTCGCCCACGTGACCCGGGGCGGCCGCGCGCCGGCTCGGCCCCCAGCGCAAGCGGCGATGGCGGCGGCGGCGGGAGCTGCAGCGGCGGCGGCCGCCGAGGTGCGGAAGGGGAGGGGGAGAGGCGGGTGCATGCCCGCGCGCGCGCCCGGGGGAAGCGCGCGCCCGTGCAATGCTCCGGGGGTGCATCGGGGCCGGGGGGCCCGGGCGAGACTTGCAGCAATCCGGAGGGCCAGCACCGGGGGCGGATGAGGGGACCAGGGGGTGGGAGGTGGGGGGAGTGGGCACCGAGGCGCGCGTGCAGCCGCCGGCTGCCCCCGAGTGGGCAGCGGGCGCCGGCGCCCCAGGAACACGCGCGAGGGGCACGAGGGGCCGTCCACCGGGCTGGGGGACAGCGGGTGCTGGAGGGGTTGGTGCCCGGGGTCCCCGCGGCCTGGGGGACAAAGGGGGAGAGGCGCGTGCAGCCGGGAGGAGGGGGCGGGGCCGGGGTGCGGAGGCCCCGCCCCCTCCCCCTCCTCTCTTCTCGGTCCCTGAGATGCGGGGTTTACCGAGAGGGAGGGGGCTGATGCGGGCCCGGGGGAGGGGTCGTGCGGCCCCTCCGGGCAGCCGTGGCCGCGGAAGGGGGGGGCCCCATAGAGGAAGAGGTAGGCCCCGGAGCCTCCTGTCTCTTCCCAGGGCCCAGGCGTCCTGGGCCCCTCAACTTCCTACGGGACTGACCAGCTCTCCTATCCCTTGTGTCCCCTCCCAGGGGGAGGCCCCCGCTGAGATGGGGGCGCTGGTGCTGGAGAAGGAGCCCAGAGGAGCCACCGAGAGAGGTGAGTGCAGCAGAAACAGGCCCAATTGGACCTTCACCTCCGCCAGCACAGGATCTCTTGAGCCCTTAGCCCTGAACTTTTTCTCTTCCATTACAGTTCATGGCTCTTTGGGGGACACCCCTCGTAGTGAGGAGATCCTGCCCAAGGCCAACCCCGACTCCCTGGAGACTGCTGGTCCCTCATCCCCAGCCTCTGTCACGGTCACCGTCGGCGATGAGGGGGCTGACACACCTGTAGGGGCCACACCACTCATTGGGGATGAACCCGAGAATCTCGAGGGAGATGGGGACCTCCATGGGGGCCGCATCCTGATGGGTGAGAGGCCAGGGAGCCTGGGGGTGAGGTGGGGCATTCTCTGACTTTGTCTTCCCTCTTATCTTGTCTCCTGCCTGCTTGCCTGTGTTTTTCAGGCCATGCCACGAAGTCATTCCCGTCTTCCCCCAGTAAGGGGGGTGCTTGTCCCAGCCGAGCCAAGATGTCAATGACAGGGGCCGGAAAATCACCCCCATCAGTTCAGAGTTTGGCTATGAGGCTGCTGAGTATGCCGGGGGCCCAGGGGGCAACAGCAGCAGGGCCTGAACCCCCTCCGGCCACAGCCAGCCCGGAGGGGCAGCCCAAGGTCCATCGAGCGAGGAAAACCATGTCCAAACCAGGAAATGGACAGGTGAGGCTTAGGGGGAGGTTTGCGGGGGTGGGAGAGACAGGGTAATTAACCGTAAAACTCTTGTGGGCCGCTTTTTTACAATTTACCTTCAGGTGTTTTCTTCTCCAGTCACTGCTTCACATATTTGCCAAGGCGCTACTGTGTGTCAGTTTCTCTACTGGGGCTTAATCTGGAACAGACAGGTTTCTATCTTCCTGGGGTTTACATTCTTAGGCAGAGGGGAGTAGAAAACACTAATGCTAAAGAGTTAATTATGTAGTTAATGTCTTAATTACTCTTATAATAATGACTAGAGAAACTTCAAACCACTTTTCCTTTCTACCTCAAAGCAGGCCCCAAGGGAACTTCTCCCTTCTTTGAAACTGCCCCTGCTGTTTTAAAGGTTTTACTATGAATCTCTACAGGGAAGGAGCTGAGGGCCACAGAAACATCCGAGGAGGGAAATGACAAGAGCCCCAGAATCTCAGAAGCTTTATGACAGTGTTTTTAGGGCTCTTGGCATCAGTGTTAGATGTGGGATGTGCTTGACACAATTCTTATTATTGGCGCAGAACTTCAGATGGCATTTTTTGAGGGTGTGGCTCACCACCCCACCCCGACCTGGGCCTTGGCTCTAAGCTAATCCAGGCAGAACCATAGATGCTCCCTGCCCCTAAGCGTGCTCCCTCTCTGCCCCCAGCCCCCAGTCCCTGAGAAGCGGCCCCCTGAAGTGCAGCATTTCCGCATGAGTGATGACGTGCACTCGCTGGGGAAGGTGACCTCAGGTCAGTCCCACCCCCTACCTACCTGCAGCTTGCTATGGCCTGTGCTAAGGGTTTAGAGTACAGGCCTCACTCCTTTCTCTCTTTCCAGATGTGGCCAAAAGGAGGAAGCTGAACTCAGGAGGTGGCCTGGTGAGCCAGGAGAGGCAGGGAACAGGGCCTGGGCCTCTCCGCCTGGGGGGCTGCTAGGAGGGATCCTAGGAGCTGGGGCTCCATCTCGCCCTCAAGGGAAATGGGGTGTTGGTGAGGGAGTGCCAGCAGCTTCAATTTTTTTCTTTAAATCTTTTTCTAGTCAGAGGAGTTGGGTTCTGCACGGGGTTCGAGAGAAGTGACCCTGGAGAAGGGGGACCCCGGGTCCCTGGAGGAGTGGGAAACGGTGGTGGGGGATGACTTCAGCCTCTACTACGATTCCTACTCTGTGGATGAGCGGGTGGACTCTGACAGCAAGGTGAGAGGGAGCCAGCCGCCCTCCCGGCCAGTGCTCCCCCACGTCCAGGGCTCGCTCTCCAATCTTCCTGCCCCACTTTCTTCTCTCTTTCCTTTTCTGAACGCCCACTAACTCACTGCCCCATACTGTCTGTAACTTATTTCCAGCGTGTGCTCTACCCCATACCATCCCCTTGCACCTCTCCACAGTGAAAATCACCATCCTGGACTTCGGGTTTAACATCCCATTTTATGGTTTATTTGTTGTTTGTTTGCTTGTTTATTCCTTTGTTCCTTGTTTGGTTTTGTTTCACATATATGTCTGTCTATGCAGCAGGATGCTTAGTCTTGCCTGTTTTGCTTTTCATTCGTTTTATCGTGGAAACTTTCAAATATACACAAAAGAATAGAATAGTGAGCCCCCGGGTAGCCATCACCCAGCTCTAAGGATTATCAATACACAGCTGACCTTGACTCA